CTTGACTGCTTTCAGTTTAATTAACTGACCCCATATTTTTTTTCCTGTGCAGAAATCGGACCCTGTTGTCTCCTACCGTGAGACAGTCAGTGAGGAGTCAAACGTTCTCTGCCTTTCCAAATCTCCCAATAAGCACAACAGGCTGTACATGAAGGCCCGGCCCTTCCCTGATGGCCTGGCTGAAGATATTGACAAAGGCGAAGTTTCTGCCCGTCAGGAGCTCAAGCAAAGGGCTCGGTACCTGGCTGAGAAGTATGAGTGGGATGTGACTGAGGCTCGTAAGATCTGGTGCTTTGGCCCTGATGGAACTGGGCCCAATGTTCTCACAGATATCACCAAGGGAGTACAATACCTTAACGAGATCAAGGACAGCGTGGTAGCTGGATTCCAGTGGGCTACCAAGGAGGTAGATAGCCTTAAAATTAATATTGGGGTACTTACATGCTGGTTATTCGTCTTTACTTCTTTTAGATCAGAGAGAAGAGGGAAGGGGTCAGTGGAAAGAGTTTATTTGGTGACAGCTGAGGTTCTAAAGCAGATAAATTACTAAAGGTCAATATACTCTGCATAGAAGGACCATGGTTATGTATATTTATAATTTTTTTTCCATTCAGGGAGCACTGTGTGAAGAGAACATGCGGGCAGTGCGTTTTGATGTACATGATGTGACTCTGCATGCTGATGCCATTCACCGGGGTGGTGGCCAAATCATCCCCACAGCCCGGCGCTGCCTGTATGCCTGTGTGTTGACTGCTCAGCCCCGTCTTATGGAACCCATCTATCTTGTGGAGATTCAGGTAGGAAATAAGTTATGCTACATGAGACCTCTTGGGGAAACAAAAAAGCTCTGGGTTGGTCAGACCTTATCTTTGCCACCCTGTCACTTAGTGTTAATTTTTTAAAAATTTGTTTAGTGTCCAGAACAAGTGGTTGGAGGCATTTATGGTGTCCTGAACAGGAAGCGAGGGCATGTGTTTGAGGAGTCCCAGGTTGCTGGCACCCCTATGTTTGTTGTGAAAGCCTATCTGCCTGTCAATGAATCTTTTGGTAAGTATTAAATTCTATAGTAAAAGACCTTTCAGTAAAGAGGATATGTTGGTATTAATGCCAGTTGGTTTGGGAAACTAGTGTTTTGGGCCTTAGGTTCTGTCACTAATTCACTGACTTGGTGTGGAACTCATTTTCCTCATCTCTTAGAATGAAAAATGGTGGTTGAGGATCAAATGAGTTTTGATGCTTTGTAAAAAGTATATAAGGATTTACAAACAACCTTGGTTTGTTGAGTTGTAATGAAAACTCATTTTAAGAACTTTTTTTTTTTTTCAGTGGGGGAGATATTTGCAGTGCTACAGATTGGTCATTTTTATGTTTGAGGTGATGTTAAGTTGGTACTTAGTTTCAGTTCTAAGCTTTGCCTTTCTCATCCTTCCCCTTCTCTTCTAGGCTTCACAGCTGACTTGAGGTCTAATACAGGTGGCCAAGCCTTCCCTCAGTGTGTATTTGACCATTGGCAGATCCTGCCTGGAGACCCCTTTGACAACACTAGCCGCCCTTGCCAGGTTGTGGCAGAGACCCGCAAACGTAAAGGGCTGAAGGAAGGTATCCCGGCTCTGGACAACTTCCTGGACAAATTGTAAAAGCTCTTTCCAACATCAGTTCAAACTCCTGTTGGACTCTAGCATAACACCAATGCAGCAAATTGTTAAAACTGCAGTGACATCTCTTTGCATATACTTAATCAGTTCATAGCAACTTGAGACTTTCAAAACACATTGATATTCAGCCTTATAGGTTTCTGTGTTGCACATGACACATTTGGGGCCCACTCGGTGCCATAACTTGAAACATTTCCACTTGATGCAACTTGAGTTGCCTGTTTCCATATTTATTCAAGTCTTCAAAGAGGCAGAAAAAATCCTCTTTGCAGGGTATATTTGGCCAGGGGGGGTGGGTTGGGATAGGTATCTAACATTTTTTTTTGTTTTTCAAAGGGAAACACAGTGCCCCCCAAATTGCAAATGAAGGCATTAAGAGGTTTTGCTTGGGTAAATGGCCTGTAGTGGATCTTCAGGAAGGGTGAGGGGAAAGTTAAGGAGATATTTTCTAGTTGGCCAGAAACTAGAAGGCAAGAAAATTTTGTGCAGTGTGATTGTCATCATGAACATCTACAGATGTATTAGTGCCATTGGAATAATAAATTTGATATGGTGATGAATATCAATAACAGTGTTGAAGTGATTCATTCCAAGTATGGGCTTATTTTTTTCCTCTGGGTGCCATTCTTCATGTGGTTCCTCAGCAAGTTAATTTGGGATTCAGTTAATTACCAAGTGCTTTCTTCCTGCTTTAGGATTTCAACACTCATTTGGCAAGGATCTTGGACCATATAAACTTGACATTTGGTTAACTTACTAAGTATTGCAGAAATAACTGCATTAAATGCTTGTGATTATGAATGGGGTTTTTTTTTTGGTTGCTAAAGTAATTTGTCCATCCCTGGCATCTGTTGTTATATGCCCCATTTGGTTCTGTTTGTGTGAAACCATCAAAAATATGATCAGTTCAGGTTTTACTTCCCTGCACAGGTTGTACATTCTACTTCCATGAAGCATTCTCCTGTAATGTTAACAGTACTTAGCTTTCCTTGCTGCAATTTGAAATTGTGGCCTGGATAAGCCTCTAAGCACCTAATTCACTGGAATATTAGCTAGTTGTGGAGAATTGTCTTAAGTCTGTAGAATGGTCGCTAGAGATCCTTGCATCCCCTTTCTGAAGTGCTGAGGGTGGCTTGGATGGGGAATAGCGTTTCTAAAGGGGATGTGTTCAGCCAGAAAATCAACCTGGCTGCAAAAGAAGGGACAGCTCTACCATGAAATATCCCTCCTGAGAAAAAGCTGGGATATAGAATGCCTCAGTTGTTCAAGCTTATTTAGACTTGGCTTGGGCACTGTTCTCTGAATGACTTTTTACTCAGCTTTCAGAGACAAGGTTTGCTAAAAATTTTTAGCCCATTGTACCCATGTATGATTTAGCTTCATGAAAAAGAAACTTACTTTACAAGCCCAGCTCTGTCCTCAATAAAAATTCATTTGAAAAAAATTTCAAAAAAAATTTAATATTTGTTAGTGTTTGAAAGCTCACAATGCTATAGATACTTTGAATTTCTGTGACTTAATCCGATTTAATTTGGGTAGTTACTTAGCTCTGCAAGTCTTTAGATAGCCTATATACTATCAACCTATATTGGGGGGGAGGGGAAACGTGTGTGGGGTACATGTATTTTGAGTCTGAAGGCTGCCTTGTGGTTGACAACCTGAAATTATGCCTCGACGAGATGTGAGTAGTTGATGTCTCCATGTGGTATCTCCATGATAATTTCACATGACCATCCTGCTCACTACCTCTCACCTGAACTTAAGTAACTTTGATTTCCCTGAATTCTATCAGCCACTTATCTTTTAGGCACAACTATGAGCTTTTGTGTAGCTTTTAAAGTCTGATCCAAAGAAGCAACCAACCAACCTTTCCAACTTTAAACATTCCCTATGTTTTGTGGTCTGTCCAAGTTGGGTATCTTACCTGACACCACCAGTAGTTGGGTGTTTGCCTTGGCTGTTTCCCATATATAAAAATCTCTGGTTTTCTTCTAGACTAAGTGGTGGTAGCTGCACAAAGCCATTCCTGAGTCCCTAAGTTGCTAGGATCCCCACCCCTCAAATTGTATAGGTTGTGCTTCACACCTAATTATGTGCATGTCTCCATAAAGTATAAACTCATTAAGGGGCAGGGACTTAAATATTTTAAATTTTATGCCTTGATCACTTCAATGCTTTGAACGTCTTCCTTGTTGATTGTATCAGACTGATCTCAATGACATCTCCCTGATTTTCTCTGGCATTAGCTGCCAGTGCTGATGCTTTAGTTGTCTTTAGGACCCTTTATTACAGTTGCATATACATTTTATACCTGCAATTTATTTGGACTGAGCTAACTCCCTTTAAGGCTGCAGTGCGATGGTATCAGATTGTTGAGTTGTGTCTGACTTGGCAAAGATCCTGGAATGGTTTGCCGTTTCCTCCTCCAGTTCATTTTACAGAAGAGGAAACTGAGGCAAACAGGGTCACACAGCTAGGGAATTTGAACTCAGGTCTCCCTCCAGGCCAAGTGCTCTATCCACAGCACCATCTAGCTGCCCATAGTTCTGACGGTGCCAGAACTAGGCTTCAGATCCTGCCTCTGGGATCTGGGTAAGTCACAATCTCCCCGAATTTATTTCCTCACCTGTAAAACTTGGATGAGATGGCCTCCGAGTTCCTTTTCAGCTCTAGATCTAAACTTGTGGGTTGGTACGCTTGGGAATTTCACCTGGGTCCAAATCACTGCATTTTACTGGCCTCAGGAAAGTCAGTTCTCTATCCTGGTCCTCAGGGTGGTGAGGAAAAAGCTTTTCAAAGTCAACAGGCACTAGGCGCCTGCTATGTACCAGGCCCTGGGCTTAACTAAGCATTGGCGATCCCCTGCCTTCCGGGATTTCACGATCTTAGTTTTCTAATTCTTTATAAAATCTTTTTAAGCCTCAAAGCACTTAGAGAAATGCAAGTTCTGTATTACGCAGAACAATAACTGTACGGGCCTGCACAGTGGAAATGTACAAATATTTAACGAATGAAGGAGAAAGAAACCTCAACTTTGGGAACCAAAGCCCTGGGGCGGCACTTCGAAGGAGAATTAGGAACCGGAAACTAGTCTTTCTTCCTCTCTTCCCCTCTCTCACTTGCACCTGGAACAGCCAATCGGCTTCTCTTCTGGCCGGTCTTGTCCCGCCCTTCTCTCCCTCCGCCCTCTAGTGGGCAAGCATCTCGAGGACCAACCTCTGAGCCCCCGGGTGCTTGTGGGCGGGGCTTTCCCCGAGAAGTTCCTCGGCCCTGGTTGGCAGGGGAGGGAGGGGTAGAGAATGACAGTGCGCTGTGGACGGGGGACGCCAGAGCGCGATGACGTTGAAGAGAGGGGCTGATGATAGGCCAATGGGGGCCGGCGCGGTGACGACAGAGTACGTCGGAATGCTGCGGCGGCGCTGACTGGCTGCTGAGGTAAGCGCCGGAGCTGGCTTCAGACTCGCCTTCCATTCTTAGAGCCTTGACGGGATTCCGGGGTAGAGGTTCTGGGGATCCCGAGGTAGGAGGTTGGGGATGGCCTGCGGGCCGGGGAAGGCAGTGCGGGGACCGTTGTATAGTTTGTGGGAGGTCCCTGCGGGGGTCACTCTTTGAGGGTCTCGGGGGGGAATGAGGGCTCGGGAGCCTCGGCGGGGCGCAGGGCTCGAAGCTGAGCCGGGGGCGGGAGGCCTCCCCAGGCCTGGGAGGGAACACAGAGAGCTGGGAAGGAGTTGGGTGGGTGGTATGGGTGGGAGGATGTCCTTGGCCTCGGGGTGTCAGGGAGAGGTTAAGGGACCCACCTTGGGCCAAAAGGGGGCGAGGATTGGTCATGGAGGGGACTGTTCGGGCGTGTGTGTATGTGTGTGTGTGTGTGTGTGTGTGTGTGTGTGTGTGTGTGTGTGTGTGTGTGTGTGTGTGTGTGAGTGTGTGATCTCCTTGGGAGTCAGGGAGGGTCGGGGTGAGGGCCTTATAGCATGCCCAGCCCCCTTTAGGCCAACCCCTTTAGGCTCCTAACTCCTGGAAGGTTTGTCCTTCTCTAGGCCACTGCCTCGTGCTGCAGCCCCTTTGCTTTCCCTTGAACCCTCCTGTCTTTTCCAGGCCTGCTCTGGGGGACTTTCGCCGGCATCTTCTTGTCATCCAACTGCAGCAGTTGGGCATCCTTTTGGAGTCGAGAGCGTGGTGACAGGACTGGCCTGCAGCCATGTCCACCTTTAGGCAAGAGGATGTGGAAGACCACTATGAGATGGGCGAGGAATTGGGCAGGTAAGTGTGTGGGGCTGGGAGAGAGGCTGATTACAGGAGACAGCTAGCCATACAATCCTTTGCAAACATTTAAAGTGGACTTCTGCTTTCTTCACCTCCTCATTCAGGGAGGCAGGTTAACAGGTTAATGTTACCTTTTATCCTTTTTCATAGAAAGACTGGAGGGATGGTGGTAAGGAAGGGCTCCCCTGAGGCTTCTAGAAGTTTGAATAAAGGAGTTGAGTTCCTTGCTCCATTCTTACCAATCCCCTCTGTTTTGGTTTTTTTCGAGAAAAGTTTAAATCCCCTGATCAAAGAAAGTAGATGATTTCCTGTAAGTCTATGTATTTGGTTAGTCCTAAGGGCTCAACTCTCCCACGGAGCCTCAAACCTTATATGGTGAGTTTTGTTCAGGCATCTCTCCTAGTGCCGCCTATAGGCCAATCAGATGATGTCACCAGAGAAAAATGTAAATAACTGTGTATTGTGTGTGTGTTCTGCTGAAAAGAGTTTCTTCTGACCACATGGGCCTCTTTGTTCCTTTAAATCATACTCTGCTTTTGGAATTCCCTCAAGATGAGGCTTGTAGGTTAGTAGGATGAAAGTAACAAGGTACTTCTTATAACAACAGCTTGCATTAAGTAGGACTTTCAGGTTCCTACACCTTCCTTACAATAGCCTTGGAAAGTAGGTACTGTGAAATCTGTATTTTATAGATGAGAAGACTGAAGCTTGGAAAAATAAAGTGACTTGCCTATCATTACATTTTTTTAGAACTAAGATTTGAACCCAAGTTTCATGACTATAAGTTCAGTATTCTTATTACTTAAAACAACATGCTGCCTGATCCTTTGGATTTCTCGCTTAACTGAGAAATCATTCAATATATATTGAACCCTTCCATGAACTCAGCATTGTGCTTTTTTGTTGGGGATATAGAAGAATTGTAAGGTGTGGTGCTGGACCTTATGGTTGCTAGATACTTGCTGGCTGGCTTCATGGGGTTTGTTTTTAAAGTGTAACTGGAAAGACAAAACTTAAATGAAATAATTAATAGAAATTAATGAGAATTTGTGTGGTACCAACTCTCAGGAAAATAGGAGTTTGGAGAGGGGAAAGAGAATGGAGGAGGTGGGATTTGATCGAGGCCTTAAAGAATGGGTAGGCTTTGGAGAGTTGGAAGGGTGGGTGGGCATTCCTTGTGGGGGTTGAGGAGGAGCAAAGGCTAGGAGTCTGGAATGAGCATAGTGTCCTCAGTGTAGTGATGAGAAAGGCTTGACTGAGTGGGTAGTTGCTGTTGGTAAGGGCAGTATAAAGCTGGGGAGAGTTTTTTCAAGGAAGTGAGGTAAGAGTGGGTAGGTAGATTAGGGCCTGACTAAGGAGTACTTTGCCCTCCTACACTTTTATGACTTCTGCTTTATGTTTTTTGATTTGTATAGTTTTTTTATTACCCATTTTCTTACCTTAAAAGCTATCCAACTGCCTTTCTTTCTACTTTCTGGACATATTGTCTCATATCTACCAATTAGGAGGTTAAAGGGACAATGTCCAGCTTTCTATATATACAACCCAAAGGAAATCTGACAGTGTATGAATATGTTTATGAGTTCTGAGTATGAGGAGATGTGGATGTGATCCTAGAGGATCACTGTTTTCGGGAGCCAACCCCCAAATGGCTTACTCAAGCCCTTTTCCCACAACTGAGTTATTCTACCATAGGCCTATATTCTTAGTTCTGGCAGCTGCTGTCCTTATTCTTTCCTAGAGTTAGTAGCCTTCCACATCTTACTGGAGAGTATGTGTCTAGAAGAATACCAGCTATCTGTAGGTGTCTGACGTGCTTTGTCCAGCGCTGTGGGAGAAACATTTCTGGAGTTTGAACACAAGCCTCCTCCCCCAGTGGGCATATGGGAGGAGTAAAGAAGGGAGCCTTTGCTTTTCTAAGAGCTTTTCTCTTTTTCTCTCTCTCCCTTCACGTTTTCCCTTATCTTGCTTCTTCCCTGAACTCTGTACAGTGGTCAGTTTGCAATTGTGCGGAAATGCCGTCAGAAAAGCAATGGGCTGGAGTACGCCGCCAAGTTCATCAAGAAGCGTCGATTGTCCTCTAGTCGTCGGGGGGTGAGCCGGGAGGAGATAGAAAGGGAGGTGGACATTCTTCGGGAGATCCAGCACCCTAACATCATTACCCTCCATGACATCTTTGAGAACAAGACAGATGTAGTGCTGATCTTGGAGCTGGTTTCTGGGGGTGAGCTCTTTGATTTCTTGGCTGAAAAGGAGTCCCTAACCGAGGAGGAGGCAACCCAGTTCCTTAAGCAGATCCTGGATGGTGTCCATTACCTGCACTCCAAGCGGATTGCCCACTTTGACTTAAAGGTGAGCCTTGCTTTCCTGCCTTATCTTTCCTTGGACTTTTTAAGGGATAGAGAACAGCTTTCTCTGGCCAGTCTGTTCTTTCTTAAACTTGGTGTAAGGAAGACCTTGGTTTGAATACTGCCTCTGCACTTACAAGCTGTGTGACCTTGGGTAAGTCACTTAACCTCTCTTAGTCTCAGTTTCCTCATTTGTAAAAGGAATGGATTGAACTTGATGGCCTCTACGGTCTAAACACTGAAGACTGTAATCATATGATCCTCTTGTTTCTGGCCTTCAGAATTCTGGACAGTTCTAGAAATTATGCTTTACTTGATATTCTTGCTTCTTCAACCCCTTCCTTATTTCCTTTTATGGAGAGGAGTTAATTTATGGGGGTTTTTTGGTCTGGGTATTTAAGCTCCTATTTTTCTTTTTATCTTGGGCTTTGGGCCTCTCTAGTTTGTTAGTTTTTGTAGTGCTGTTCAGATTGAGTTTTTCGTTTTCAGAGACAGCTTCCTGTAAGTGCTTGGTCCAAGTCTGGGAGGGTTAAATGGCTTTCTGTCATAAGCTTATGTTTCTTTCTGATTTGGAGTGTATTTGACAATAATTGTTGCACCAGATTTGTTCTTAAACCCCACAAAGCCTGATTTTCTTCCCTTTCTTACAGCCGGAGAACATCATGCTTCTGGATAAGAATGTGCCCAACCCTCGAATCAAGCTAATTGATTTCGGCATTGCCCACAAAATTGAGGCAGGGAATGAGTTCAAGAATATTTTTGGAACCCCGGAGTTTGTAGGTAAGCGGCCATCCTATGGAGATGATGGAGGTGCCAGGGCCCAGAGCTCTGGGAAGAGGACTGTGTTGAACATTTAAGCACTGCCAGTTGATTAAGTTGCTTTTTCTGGCAGAGGGAGAGGCTAAGAGTACTGGCTGCAGCGTCTCTTCAAGTCTAAGGATGCTTGGCTTTCCTCACTATAAAGAATTTCTGTTCTCCCCTTCCGGATCGCAATCACCTATTTCCCTGTTTGTTACATTTTCCTCTCCTTTGGGCACATAGAACCTCAAGTGCCTAAGTTGTGTCCCAAACCGGTGCCCAGATTGACTTTACCTTGTTGCATGTACTAGAGTTGATCTTTTACAAAGTAGGACTGATCCAGCTTCTCTTCCTATTCCTCCTAAAGCTCCTGAGATTGTGAACTATGAGCCACTAGGTTTGGAGGCGGACATGTGGTGAGTGAGACGAGGCGATGCGCTGGGCTTCCCTGATAGCCTTTAACTCCCTAGCGGTTTGGTTAGGACTCAGTTTCCCAATGGAGATACATCTGGAATTAAAGTGTCCCTTAGTATAGAGAGGCGAGACAGCTGTTCTTTATGCAGTGTTTCTCATTCCCCTTTGCATACATCTCTTAAAGGAATAGGGATGATCAGACTAGTCCCTACCTCTAACAGCCTTATGAAGCTCAAGGCCAAGGCAGTCAAACAGACTGACTTGTTCCCATGACTTCTTCCTTCACTTGAAACATTCAAACCTGGTGGTAAGGGTGGGATTTGGGCCTGCCATTGACCTTTTGGTTCCCTTCTCCCTCCTTCTTCCTTTCCCTAGCTAGTATCCTTGATTTTTTTTTCTTTTTGGTAAGGCAGTCCCAGTTAAGTGACTTGCCCAGGGTCATACAGCTTTGTATGTCTGAGGCTGGATTTGAACTCGGGTCCTCCTGATTCCAAGGCTGGAGCTCTATCCACTGCACCACCTAGCTGCCCCTAGTCTCCCTGATTTAAAGATGCCTCAGGATACATCATGTTTCACAGAAGGAGCCTGTATTCACTTCACTATAAGGGGAGCTGTCTTTTGGCCTTCCCAGTCTGAGACTAGTGACTAGTGGATGCTTTGTGGCGTTACCTCACCTTCTGAGCTCTGCTTTGGTCCTCAGAGTGTGGAGATGATTTTTAGGCAAATGGGTATATGAACCTGCGGCATTAGCAATGAGGAGGCATCATAGAGTAGATATGATCCAATTTCCTCATTTTACAAGGAGGTAAAATTGAGGTCAATGGAGGGGACGGTTTTTGGCCAAGTGGGACAAAGGCATACTTGCCTATGTCTCCTGGTCTCCACTTACATTTCAGAAATCCTAGGAGTTCTAGTGAGGTTTATCAATGTAATATCCTTGCTGTCTTCCAAAAGCCTCCTTTCTGTAGTCTTTTCTGCTTTCAAACTTTTGTCTTGATAATGGCCAATCCAGAGTAGGATTGCCACTCTTTGTGTCCAGAGAAGCTCTGGATAGAGCTGTGCTAAAGAAAAAGCATGGGCTTTGCCCCTTCTGTGTGCCTCATTTTCTCTTTTTAGTAGCTCACTGGAGTTATAGAATAACATTCCATAGTGACCAGATTTCTTTCTTCTCTTTCCTTTCTCTCAGGAGCATTGGAGTGATCACATACATTCTGTGAGTGTTTTCATATTTAATTCTTCTTGCCGATGTCTCTGGTTAGGAGAGGATGTTGATGGCATGTCAGCTCATTCTCCAACAAGCAGTTTTTGAGCATACAGAAAACGCTTTGCCCTGTAATGGATGTTGTGATAGACAGCGAAAGAGGAGCTGTGGTTCTTGGCCTCAGATCCTTCCCACAGATGGGGAAGGCAAGACTTGCACATATAAAGTAATTACAGAGCAATGACAGGTAGAAGAGAATCGAGCTTGTGATGCTCATTCGGGTTGTCTTGCTCGTGTCGCCTGGCTGGCTCTTTGTTATACCGCGTCGGGCTCTGTGGTCAGCACTGTGAGTGCCAGAAAGCTCAGTAGTTTCCTGACTTTTTAAACAGGAGGGTGGAGCACACTTCCCTCACTTACAAAATGGGGAAAACCAAGTGGCTGTTTGGTTTTGGAGAACTGAGGTAACTCTTGGGATATACCTCATGTTTCCTAGAGTCGGCAGCACAGTATTTGGGGAAGAGGTACTGTTTAAACCCAGAGCTGTTATCTATCCTGCCAAGTGAAAGAGCAAGGACTTTGTCCTCATGGTTTTGATTCCTGTGACTTCTGGGCTTTGTTTACATGATGCAGGCATCGGGGTACCTTGGGCTTTGGGCTGGTGGGGGCTCTGGGGTTTGGAGAGCTCTCTTTGACGAGATGTATGTATATTCTGTCTAGTTTGAGCGGAGCATCACCATTCTTGGGTGAAACCAAGCAGGAGACTCTCACCAACATTTCAGCTGTGAACTATGACTTTGATGAAGAGTATTTCAGTAATACCAGTGAGCTGGCCAAAGACTTCATCCGTCGGCTGCTCGTCAAAGACCCCAAGTATGAGGTTCTGGGGCCTTGGGATGGATAGGACTATAAATGGGTGGTACCTGTGGTGGGGTGGGATGACCTTGCTTGGGTTGAATCCTAGCGCTGCTGCTCATGGAGAGGTAACTTTGGCAAAGTCATTTATCTTCTCTGGGCCTGCTTACTGGTTAATGGGGCTTTGAATGGGTATCCCTTCCAAATCTAGATTCTAGAGGTGGTGGATCATGAATGAGTCTAAGTTCTCCTTCCTTCTTTTCTTTTCCATTTAATTAAATCTTTATTCGACGATATGATATATATAAACTTAAATATATAAGAATTGAGCTGTACCTGAGAGATGATGGGATATTCAGTTTTAAACATATATACACAGTGCAGAGCTATTAGATATTATTCTTCTTCCCCTCCCCACTTTACGTCTGTCATTTTTGGTTCCTGATTTGTCCCTTGAGCTATCCTATGATTGGCCTAAGGGAGTAATGGGTGTTATTTACTATTTTCAAGCCAATGAGAATTTCAGGCACAACATTAAAACAAACAAACAAACAAATCACAACTTGATAATGAACATCAAAGCCAAATGCTTATACCATCATTTACCCATCTTTCTGTATTCCATTTTGGTGTTTAAATCTGATGTTGACAAAGTTCTCTTTCCTTCTAACTGCTGACTTGAAATATTACTCTCTCTCCCTGCCCCTGGCCTGTTGCTTCAGCCTGTCTTTCGGTGCCTCACTTTTTCTGTTTGTCAGATGGGGGTAATACATATCATACTTACCTAGCATGGTTTCAGGTTGAAATCAGATTGTAAATGCTATCTAACTGTAAGGTGGTATTATTCCAGGAAAAGGATGACCATTGAGCAGAGCCTGGAGCATTCGTGGATTAAGGTGGGTAGAGTTTAGGCTGCTTTGCCCTTGTGTTCACAGGGCACTGTGCTGGTATTTGGCAGAGCATTCTCATGGACTGACTCAGTGGCCTCACTTTGACCCGAGCTTGACTTCTTTCAATTGTCCCACCCTAGCTTTGTTCATAGGATTAGAGCGGTCTATTTCCATTTCAGGGTGTTTTGGGGACTTTGCAACCTGTAGTCTGCTGAGGGGCAGCCATTGGGGAGGGCCAGTAGATAACAGAAACTGACCATGTCCGAGGATGGTGTTGTTTGTCTTGTAGCTTCTTGAAAAGGAACTTGGGGAAATCCTGAAGTCCTACTTCTTTCCTACACAGCCCTAGTAGGCTTGTTTGAAAGTTTTTTTTCCTGGATAGTTTTCCCCTCATGTTCAACTCGTACTGAAAGAATTTCATAGCATTCCTCCCTCAGTGCCCAAACTTGTCATTAGTATAGAGCATTCCCCAGCCCTCCGTGCAGGCCACTCTGCCCTAAAGAAGTCCTTGTGCACCCAACTACTCTCTTACCCCATGCAGGTGATTAAGAGAAGGAACGTGCGGAATGAGGACAGTGGCAAGAAGCCAGAGCGTCGGAGACTGAAGACAACCCGCCTCAAGGAGTACACCATCAAATCCCACTCCAGCATGCCCCCGAACAACACATACATCAACTTTGAGCGTTTTTCTAAGGTTCTGGAGGAGGTGGCAGCAGCTGAAGAGGGCCTGCGGGAGCTGGGGCGAAGCAAGAAGCTGTTCCGTGAGGACATTGAGGTCCTGACTTCTATCTATGAGGAGAAGGAGGCCTGGTATAAGGAGGAGAACGAGAGCATTGGCCAGGACCTACGGCTGCTTCGTCAGGAGCTGCACAAGACCGAGGCCCTGAAACGGCAGGCCCAAGAAGAGGCCAAGGGAGCTCTGCTGGGGGCTAATGGGCTGAAACGCCGCTTCAGCCGCCTGGAGAACCGCTTTGAGGCCCTGGCTAAACAGGTGGCATCAGAAATGAGGTTTGTTCAGGACCTGGTGTATGCCATGGAGCAAGAGAAACTGCAGGATGGGGACTGCAGTGTGCGTTAGTGGTTCTCCAGGCTGGTGAAGAGGAGTGCCAACAGAGGGAAGAGAGTCGGACCAAATGTCCAACAGCCCTCTGAGGCAGAGGGAAACTGTGATTGATAACTTGGATGAAGACAGAGGATCTGGGATTGGCTGCTCTCCTATATCCCTACTTGTGTAAGGGCGCCCTAGCCAAGAGTCAGACAGTGCTGACGTTCCTTTTATTTACCCTCCCTAGGAGGCTCTGAGTTTTTTCTGAATCAGAAGGACAGGAGGCAGGGATTGGCCAAAATGGAACGTCAGCGTGAAATAAGAAATGTACTGAGTGATATCAGTTCTGCAACATTGCTGCTTACCCTTAGCTTAGTCACAGTTTGGATTGGGTGAATTTGAAAAACAGCAACTTCCTTTATTCTGCCTCAGGACTGAAGATGTTTCCCATAATTCATGCAACTGAGGGATACACTAGGCTTGAGGGGCACTGCTGTTGTCATCACAACCCCCTTGCCTGGTAAAACAAAAAAAATACAGATGTTACTTATGCCACTGGACAGACAGCTGATTGTCTTCTGGAGGAGCCTCACTCTGGTGGACCTGCGGAGAATAACATGAACAGTGTCTGTTTTATGCACCTAGAAAAATTCTGAAGAGGGCCCTCGTGTCTTGAACTGACCTTATTTGAGAAGATACCACTGTTAGCTAAGACTTGCAGAGGCACAGGCTACACTTGTAGCTGTAAGCCATGATGAAAATGTGGAACTGCATGAGAATAAAATAGGATATCCTCCCAAAGTTAGACACAGTTGGAATATATATGTATTTTTGAAAATTTAGCAAATGCTCTTCTAGCCTTTTCTGTGTAAATGCACTAAATGAGAGAAATATTACTCCTGTGTAAAAGCACAGTTGATATTAAACACAGACCATTCAGACTCTGTCCCGCAGTGAATGGTAGCCCAGGCCTAGTGGCTGTCCTGGTACCCTTCTTACTCTTGGGGCCTCCTGGCCATTGGCTTACTGGCCAGGGTTATTTGTTACCCTATATGTGGGTACCGAAACATTTTTCTTTGGTTTATGGCTGCAGCAAAGCCCAGTGCCATCTGTGACAATGTTTCAGACTCATTATCACCTAGAATGTTTAGAGAAGAGCTGGGCTGGTTCCTTATTTTCATTTCCCAGGCCAGTCTGCCCACTCTTCCTGCCTTTCTCTCTTGCTGCTGGCAGTTCTACTGCACAGGGTGTCCCAGAAGTCTTAGTGCAGTTTTAATCTACTTGGGCGTAACACTGCACTAAGGCTTTTGGGATACCCTGTATTTTTTGAAGCCAGATTTCTAAAAAGCCTTTAGGCCATTTTCAGTTGCTCCCAGGCAGGCTACTTGAGGGCAAGGACAGTGTTCTATTTTTCAGGACTGGTTTTTTCCATCTGTAATTACACTTGCACTACCTACCTCAGAATTGTTGGGGGAAAAGTGCTTTGCAAAACTTAAGAGTGCCATAGCAATATGAATTGTTATTATCTTGCTTTTCTCCTCAGCACCTAGTACATAGTACCTTATACTTGATGCCCCTTTTTTGAATTGAGTCAAGCTTTTTGGGTTTGGAGACTTCCGCCTTCCTTGAGCTCCTGGATGGGCAGTAAATGGTAGGATTCAGCAAATTCAACCCAACTCACATTTAAGTACCTACTATATGTAGAGTCCTGTATCCACTAGGTGCCGAGAGACAGAAAGAAAATTAGGTGGTTCCTTCCTGCCCTTATGGAGCCTACCATCTTGTAGGTCATATTAAAAAGGGTTAAAACCAGAAAGAGTCATTTAATCCATTGGGGTCAAACTCAAATAGAAATGGGGCTACTAAACCATAAATAAGAATCTCTTAGGGCTGCATATTGACTTAGAAAACAACATGTTAACATTATTTATGTTCTGTTGTATTTTTATTTATTTTGTTAAATATTTCCCAATGACATTTTAATGTGGTTCAGGCCTGAGTGTTTCGGGCTATAATGTGGCTGGGCCTTGTGTTTGACGCCTGAGCTGCCCTCATTTTGCCGCTTTAGAAACAGGTCCAGAACAGTTGTGACATGTCCATAGGAAAGGGAAAGGATGTTTTAAAAAGCATAAGTTGTTCATGGGATCCTGGATATAGAGTTAGAAGGGACCTCATGGGACCTCATAGGGACCTCAGGGGTCATTTAGTCCAATCTTCTCATTTTTTTTTTTTTTGGCTAGGCAATGGGGTTAAGTAAATTGCCCAGGGTCACACAGCTAGTAAGTGTTATGTGTTTGAGGTCAGATTTGAACTCAAGTCCTCCTGAATCCAGGGCTGGTGCTGTATCCACTGCGCCACCTAGCTGCCCCTCAACCTTCATTTTTCACTTGAGGAAACAGATCCATATAATGTAGAGAGCCCTTCAGGGTAACTTGCTGAACCTATGACAGGCCAGGTCAATCAGAGCCCTAGGCAGGCTTTACAGATCATGTCAGATATTGAATCAATAGTGGTGCTTAGCAATGCCCTCAGAGCATGGGAATACACAGGAAAGCACACTTATAAACTCATCCCCTCAAAGAGTAGCTCACCTAATCCAGGAGTCCCTTTATGGAATATCTAGATGGTATTCTATTGAGCTGGCTGTGAAGAGAATTCAGTTTTCCTGCGGGTTTTCATTATAGAATTGGAGATATGCTCCCCTAATAGACTGAATCAAATACTTTTTCATGAATAGTGAGTTCGTATGGCGATCAGATTTATGACATCATGGATGTTTCTAATTCTAGCATATCTTGTTTCACTTCTTTTCACTATCAGCCTTTTCTCAGATCATGATAATTTTTTCATGGGGATCCCAATTCTGGTCTTACTTCTTGGGTTGGGTAATTTAGGTTATATAATAGGCAATAATTCCATACCTGGCCACCAGATGTCGTCTTCTAACAAATTATATATGCTGGCCTGAAAAAAAAAAGTTTGAGGCTGTAGGTTTTGTAAAATGAATTAGTGCCCAATGTTACCTAATTCTTAAAGTTTGGAAATCTGTAAAACAAGTTGACCTAAAGTAAAAGATACCTAGACAGTCTTTTCTTAGTCTAGAGAGTGGTTGGGCATACTTTTAGGATACTGGAGTTAGGAATGGAGGCTATAGTATGATGGTATGAAGTGTCAGAAACACCCTTGTCCCTAGGATTAAATTGGTGGGGAGGAGAGGGGAGTTTCTGTTTAGCTGTTTATAGAGGGATAGTTAGAAGGGCCCAAGAATCACAATAGTGGTGATCCAGGACCCTGAAGCACTAGTGATGGTAAAGGTACCTACCATCATTCATTTAAAAAACTATTTATTAAGGGATTGGTATGTGTAAGGCATTCTGCTAGGTGCTGGGGACATAAAGACAAAAATGAATTCATTCTTGCCCTCCAGGAGCTTATGTTCTACCTAGAAGAGACAAATGTGCTCATAGTGTCTAAAGCTTCCTGGAGAGCGGGAGGGCAGGGGATCTGGTTCTAGGGGAGCGGGCTCTACCCCCCACCCCCCACCTTGGTGTATGGTTCCTGCCTGGTCAAGACTTAATACCTCTTACCCTCTTCCTATGCTTTGTTATTCCCATAAATATATGTAACTTGGGACTCTATAGTGTGCTCTGGTCTATAGCTATTGTGTATGCATGTTCCTGAGTGCCTGTAATGCACACGCATATGCAATATGTCACAAACTGAAAGGAAATAAAACTTTTATATTTCTTGGATCCCTGGGCTGTACTCTGGTTCATTCTCTGGATTGTAGGAAGAAAGCTTAATCGGCCTAGGCAGGTTTAATTTTTTAAAAATTATGTTTATTTCTTAATATTTATTTTTTTTAAATTTTGAGTTCTAAATTCTCTCCCTTCCTCTAGCCTTTCCCCTCCCACTGAGAAGGGAAGCAATATGATACCTATTATACGTATGAAGTCATATAAAACATTTCCATGTTAGCTATGTTGCAAGAAAAAGTGGAAAAAAATATGATTCAATCTACATTCTGAATTTATCAATTCTCTCTCTGGAGGTGGGTAGCATTTTTCATCATGGTTTCTTTGGAATTGTGAATTATATTGATCAGAGTAGCTAAGTCTATCACAGTTGATTATTATTTTTTACATTCCTATTAAATATAATTTCACATTAGTGACGTTATAAGGAAGAATTAGAACCAATAGGAGGAACCACCAGAAAGAGAAAACAGAACAGAATTAAAAAAAAAAAGCAAATAGCATGCTTCAATCTGCATTCAAACTGCATAGTTCTTTCTTTGGATGTGGATAGCATTTTCTATCATGAGACCTTTGGAGATGTCTTAGATGCTTGTGTTGCTGAGAAGGGCTAAGTCTTTCAAAGTCAGTCATCACACAATGTGGCTGTTACTGTGTACAGCGTTCTCCTGGTTCTGCTCACTTCACTCAGCATCAGTCCATACAAGTCTTTCCAGGTTTTTCTGAAGTCTGCCTGCTCATCATTTCTTGTAGCACAATAGTATTCCATTACATTCACATACCACAACTTGCTCAGCCATTCCCCAACTGATGGGCATTGCCTCAATTTCCAATTCTTTGCCACCACAAAAAGAGATACTATAAATATTCTTGTGCATGTGGGTCCTTTTTCCATTGTTATGATTTCTTTGGGATACAGACCTAGAAGTGCTATTGCTGGGTCAAAGGTCACAGTTGATTATTGTTAACATTGCTATTATTGTGTACAATGATCTTCTGGTTCTGCTTTCTTTACTTTGCATCAGTTCATATAAGTCTTCCCAGGTTTTGCTGAAACCATCCCCTTCATCATTTTTTATAGCACAGTAGTATTCCATCCCAATCATATACCATAACCTATTAAGCCATTTCCCAATAGATGGACATTTCCTCAATTTTCAATTCTTTGACACCGGAAAAAGAGCTGCTATAAATATTTTTGTACATGTGGTTCCTTTCCCTTTGATCTTTTTGGATGCAGACCTAGCAGTGGTATTTCTGAGTCAAAGGTAGGCACAGTTTTATACCCCTTTGGGCATAATTCCAAATTGCTCTCCAGAATGGATGGACCAGTTCACAGCTCCACCAACCATTAGTTACACCATTAGTGTAGCTCTTTTACCTCATCCCCTCTAGGCAGGCTTTATTTTTTTTAAAAAAACTTTCAATTTTTAATTAGCTAGGGACCAGTTATTTTGTAGGTTAATTAGAGTCTTTGCTTCCTTCCCTGTTGATTGTTTCACTGCTCATTACTATTGCTTTTGGAGGAAAAGCTGGGGGAAAGAGTAGAAACTGAAATCCCTTTATTTACACTATTAAAAATTATCAAGGACTCCCCTGTCTTCCCAAGAGCTTTTGTTTAAATGGGTTATGCCTGTCAATATTTACTGATTGGAAATTAAAGCATCTCAGTATTGTGAAAAGTTTTGACCTTGTGGACCTCCTGAACCACTGATACAGGAGGTTTTCATTGCATAAGGAGTTTTTGTAGAGATCCCTGAGAATAGGGAAATCTTAATACTATTTTGTATCCATGAGAAGGAAGAATCACAGACTGTTAGAACTAGAAAAGAACCTTTTTAGAATATATAATGTCAGAACTGGAAGGTAGCTTAGGTCATTTAGACCAAACCTCTCTTTTTATAGAGGAGGATACAGGCCTAGAGAGAAAGTTTGTTCACAGTAGAACCCAGTTCTCTGGTCTTTTAGTATAGTGCCCTTTCTCAGATTTGTGTACAAATAGCCATATTTTCACCATCAGAAATAATGTGATTATATTATAATTGCTTGTTAGAATCACCCACCTATATTTTGTCCCTTGGAAAATTCAATGTTCTTGCTTAAGATCATTCCTCAAAACAAAACAAAGCAACACAAACATTCCTCCCTGTTTCCTCTCCCCCTCCCCACCTTTTTAGATTGTCACCTCGATATGCTATTGCTAGGTTTTCCTTTAGGTGACTTGGATGAGACTGGATATGAATTGATACCATAATGTAATAAAATTTTGAAGGTTTAAGTACCTGAATGGGTACAGTTCATTGACTGAGATATTTGGACGGATTCCCTCCATCTAGATCAGTGCCAAACTAGGCCCTCTCTAGAACGTAAGAAAGTTTTGGATCTTGTGGTGTGATGTATATGGGGAATGATTTTAGAGACTATAATATTGACTTATCTCTAAACAAATATTTACTGATGCTTACAGTGTGCAGGCATCTGTGAAAGATACATCAATGAATGACATGGATGTAGTGCCTGCCCTCTGGAACTCACATTCTAGTTGGGGGAGACAGAAATGCATGGAAAGAACACTCATCATACAAGATTGTTTGTAGGGAGTGCCAAATGAATGGGTAGTGTAGACTCATTTTCTATGAGAATTCAGAGGAGAGAGAGGAGTGATTGCTGGGCTGGGGTGGCCAAAGTAGGTTTCATCGTTGGCTGACCTTGTATATTGAATGATATTTAGATTTGGTGGTGTTGCGGCTAGGCAGTGTGATTAAAGACAGGGTCCTGGAAGGAATCATAGATTTAAAGCTGGAAGGGACCAGTTCCCTAATTTTATGGATGAAGAAACAGGCCCAGTGAGATTGTTGCTTGCCCAAGGTCACAAAAGTATTAGTGCTACTTATGTCATAACGCTCGGGAAACAGTGAGGGAATCAGGGTGGCTGAGCTGGGGAGCTGCTAATGATGATGCTGGAGGGGTACCCTTTGGGTGAGCTCACAGAAGCCCTAACTTTTCAGTTTGACTCACTTTGTCTCAAGTTCTGAAACTACAGGGTTGGCTGGTGGGACATCCCTCCTTCTCAGGTCTCTTTTCTCGGGTCTGTGGAGGTTGATTACAGAACATAACCACCAAGTGGCAGCCTTGAGTTGCATACATTTGCTTCTCCAGGGAGTTTGTAGAACTGGACATGGGCACCTCGTTGGTATGTTCCAGATGGGAGGTCTAATCCCTCCATTTTATAGAGGAGGAAACAGGCCCCAAAGTGTTGGGAGGCTCAGACATGACAGCATTTTGGAAAGTACAAAACACCATACATATACATGAGTGGTTGGTTACAAATTCTAACCTCAAGGTCCTGTGGAAAATAGGGGTGGTGTGGTTTAACATATGCCTTCTTTCCCCTCCATACCCAGCCAGGGAGTATCCCAGGATGAAATATGGAGGAGAGTAGGAGCATCCACCTTTGGAATGTCTCCAGTTTTGAATTGTGGGATCACAGATTTAGAGCTGAATCTCAGAGGTTATTTAGCTCAGCCTCCCTCTTTTTGCCATAAGGAAATGAGGCTTAGAGAATGACTTGCCTAAGATTGCACAGGTAGCGCTGAGATTCAGTCTCAGGTTTTATGATTCCATCTTCCCATTGTATCCCACTGCCTCTCTGGAACTCAGTCTGAGACCCATGGAGAGAGGGGTCAGCTCAAAGCCCTGGCTGTTCTAGCAGGGAATCAAGGAGGTGACCCCTGGTCTAGCCCAGACCACCCCCCTGGGTGGCAGCCTCACTGGGATCTCCACCTCCTTGGTGACGAACCAGGCTGCTGCCGCGGGACTGAACTGTTTCACTTGCTACATTGTAGACAGCCTCATCTACCCAGATAGTAGAAAGGGAAGACCGCCCCCTAGCGTCTCCTTGAAAAGCCCCAAATCACTGCTCTAGTATTATGGCACCTCCTATAATAATTTTTCCTTTTTCCAGAGCCAGGTTTACCTTCCCACCTCTTTCCCATTTGCCTGAAAGCTAAAAGTGAGTTTGCCTTCCTTGAGCACACCCCAGCTGATAGTGGGAGGAGCTGGCCAGCATTTTAAAGAGAGGTATACTGGATGGCGATTGGTCATGTACCGAATACTGATGTTTCTCTCCTTCAATTTCCATGCAAATCCAACAAGACAGGATTGCAGAGAATGTTGTATATTTGGGTGGTGGGAGAAAGATCTCATTTTTCACGGGGCTTCCTGCCTTGTGGCTTTTCAGGCATTTTCACAAAGTTAGTGTTGGCTATTTCCTTGGACCGTCAGTCAATCAGGGATGCAATTCTTTAGTGGAAAGACCTGGGAGACCTGTGTGGTGCTGCAAATTCACTGTGTGACTTGGGTGAAGTACTTTCCCTCAGTGGTTTCACTTTCTTCCTCTGTAAAATTATGGGGCTTGGATTAAGGTCTCTTTTCAACTGTGAAAGCCTAGGACTCCAAACCTTTATAGAGAGGGCTACGTAGAGGTCCAAGTCCATGTCTCCTCCCCTTGTGGGGCAGAGGGCAAGGTAATTGTCTCCCCAGGCATGCAATGCTGGGAGGGAAATAATTCGAGGAGGGGCCCGTGGTAAACCAACAGCTGCTTCAGTTTTGCCCAAAGTTGGGCAGGAAGGCTTGGGTCACCAGGTAGTACTATTAATAACTCTGGGTAAGCCTGTTCCCGGGCTGGCTGGCAGCTTCCATAAAGCCTGAGCCGAGGACCCAGAAAGTCTTCTTCAGCCCCTGAGACCTTTAAATCCCATGTTGTGAGACAAAAAAGAAAAGTAAGTACCAGAACCAATCTTCCCCTGCCCCCCTCCCTCAAGGTGTAAAAAACAGTTGGAAGAAGAAATGTGGAGAAACAAGATACACCATTAAAGGGCCCTTGGACACACAGATCCTTAATGGTATTAAAATGTCCTGGGGCAGCTCATTGCAGGGCAGTGAGCCCCTCTGACTTCCCACCAGCGCCGTTTGATAAGGGGGTGAGAAAGGGGAAAGGGGAGGAAATTGAAAGAGGGGGATCAAGGCCTTTTCCCCACTGTCTTGACCATCCGGAGCTGCTCAGATGATCTTGTGCATGCCTATTTTATGTGAGGACCCTCTTGCTGTCCCCCCGTATTGGCCTGACCACTGACTGTTCCCTTGGGGGAGGATTAAGATCATTGGTTTTCATGGTAGCAAATGGTAGGGGCTGAGGAGGTCAGGAATATGGTCCTGTCCCAGGTTCCTCAACCCCTGAGTCTGTCAGCCCTTCTCCTTAGGGCGCTATTTCCAGTTGGTCCCATCATGGGGAGGGGTGGAAGCTGTTGTCAGTTGGTCCCTTTTTTGGAGGGTGGCTATGTTATTTGGGGGAGGTAGTAATTAAGGTGAAATTCCGTGGTAGATTTAAGGGCAGAACCAGGCAGTCGAGTTACTGGTGGGAGACTCCAAGTTTGATGGCTTTGGGAGCCTAAGAAATTCCCCCATTTCCTTCTGCCTACTTGTAGGAGAATGGCCCCCTCTTTGTCATGAATTGGGGTCTGTTTGGCTAGTCATTAGATGATTTACTTTGGGTTTCTGGGTATCATGGGTATCATGGTGTAGTGGGAAAAACATTGTATTTGGAATCAGTGGACCTAGATTTGCATCCAGACTTTCCTGCTTGCTATACCTGTGACTTTGGAAAGGTCCTTTCCTCTCTCTGGGGCTTAATTTCCTCATCTTTAAAATGGGAGACTGGCCAGCTTTAAGGTCCACTCCACCTCCAAATCCTGAGATATCTAGGTAGTATGGTAGCAATAAGAGATAGATGAGAACTTTTTGGGGCAGGGGTAGGATAAATCAAGAATAGCTCTATCCTATGAACAGGAAGGTAGATCCCTTAGGGAGGATGTGGACACCTTGCTTTTCTCCTGGTATAAGTGAATATGTTCATTGATTTTCACATTCTTAATAGCTATACTCCCCCCCTGCCCCCCTCCTCTTTCCAGTTAAGAGCAGCCAGGTGGTGCCTGATGATTGGGCTGCCTTTCTGGGTACGGGGAGGGAGAAGGAATCACTGTGGCCCTTGGGTGGGGGCTGGGGGGATTTGGGTGTCACGTTGCTCAGAGTAAATGCTGATGATGGGGAAATGGATTGAGAGGAGCTTGACATGTATAGCAGCTGGTCTGCAGAGGATGTGTTTGGAAATGAGAAGGTGGAAAGGGGAATAAGATGAACATAAGTGCATTTATATGGGTCTATATTGGAAATTTTTTCCTCTCTTTCCCTATACCCAGTAACTTTCTGAAGAGTTGGATTAGGCCTAGAAAAAGAAGACAAGATGATATCTTGGGTAGGGTTCATGAAAAAGAGCCTGGAAGGTCTCTTTTGGTTTATTAAAAAAATTATATTTATATAGTATTCCAAAGCACCCTCCCATTTATTCTTCCATTTAGTCTTTTTTTTTTTCTGGTGAGGCAATTAGGGTTAAATGATTTGCCCATAGTCACACAGCTAGTAAGTGTTACATGTCTGAGGTCAGACTTGAACTCAGGTCCTCCTGACTCCGGACTGGTGCTCTATCCACTGCACAACCTAGTTGCTCCTGGCCATTTAGTCTTCAAACCATTACTGTGCAATTGTGGGCTAAGGTAATATTTATTCCCATTTCAGAAATAGAGAAACTGGTCTGTAGAGGAAAACTGACTTTACCCAAGGGCAGACAGGGAATTAGGGGCAAAGTCAGAATTAGGGCTTGGGTCTCTTGGATCTTCAATCTCCCAGACCAACACTCCTTCCTTATTTCATGCATGGTGGAGCCTCCGGCCTCTCGTGTCTTTTCCCAGACCTGGCTCCAGTGGGACCGATTCAGAAGTCAAAGACGATTGGGGTCTTGGGATTGTTTTCCTCCAAAAGGAGAAGGGAATGACTGAGATCAGGATGATAAAAGCGAGAGACCCTGTTTCCCTGAACTGTATGGGGGAAACCCCACTAACTCCCCAACACACCAGAACTTTGGGCCCAGCTCAGAACCAGGGAGGGAAGCAGGGGCCACTCTTGGGGCTTAAGAGCCGAGGGAAGGAGAAGGTTAAATGTTCTTTAGCCCCAGAGCCTAGCCTCTTTGCCTGCCAAGTGCCTGGGGTTGGTACTGACTTGGCATGGGAAGGTGTCAGCCACGGGATATCACATATGCCTCTTGGGGAGGAGGTCATGAGACATCCAGAAATCTCCTCTGGGTTCACCTTCCCATTCTCTGCCTTTCCCATCTTGTCCTTTTTGCAATCATTTACTCAGCCAATAAACCACTCATAGGTACTGAGACCCTTCTGTGTGATAGGCACTCAGACAATATGACTGAGACCTATGGGGCAGCAATGAAATGGTACAAGGGGGAATGGGGTTACATCTTCTTCATTCTCCTCACCTTTTACCTATCATGGTGCTCTGCACACAGTAGGAGCTTAGTAAATTTTATCTGAATGAATGAATGAGTAAAAGGTCTGCTCTCTAAGAACTAGAAGAATTCAGACTGAGAAATAATTGTGGCCAGGGAAAGAAGTAGCAGGACTTACTATTATAAGCTTTTAGAGCTGGAAAGATCTCTAGATCATAGTCAAAAGAATGCCAGAGCTGTAAGGGATCTTAGAGAAAGTCTGGCACAACTCTTTCATTTTTTTTTTTAGGCAATCAGGGTTAAATGCCTTGCCCAGAATCACACAGCTAGTAAATGTCCAAGGCTGTATTTGAACTCAGGTCCTCTTGACAACAGGGCTGATGCTCTATTCACTGCACCACCTAGCTGCCCTGCTTTAAAAATTTTTAATCGATATCTTTTGTTTTCACACCACTTAAGTTTCTTTCACCATCCCTTCCAATCCCTCCTCCCCTCTCTCAATAGCCATTTGGGTGCTCCTTGCCCCCCACCCCCACCCCTCCCCCCCTTGCCAGAGGGCTTCAAGCATATGAGGAGAGAGAGCTGAGATGTGGAGATACTAATTGGGATAGGAAAAGATTTTGACAGGCAGAAATGATAGGCTGGCACTAATAAAATGAAATCCAGCAGGGTTAAGTACAAAAGTCTTACACTTGGCCACATAAAAAGCTCACTGTATAAGGACACGTTCAGCAGCTAGTGGTATAGTAGAGAGAGAGCATTGGACCTGGAGTCAGGAAGGTCCAAGTTCAAATCTTGTCCTCAAGACACTTAGCTTTGTGACCCTGGGCAAGTGACTTCACCTCTGTCTGCCTTAGTTTCCTCTTCTGTAAATGGGGATGAGAATAGGGGTTATTGTGAGGATCAAATGAGGTAATATTTGTAAAGTGCTTTTTAAACCACAGCACTAAACACATATAGTTATTATTATTTTTTATTACTAGAATTCAAACCCAAGCCTCTCCTGACTCTAAATCCAATACAACTTCTGATAGATACAGTTTGCTGCAGCTCTCCTAAGGAAGTATAGTATTCAGAAAGAGGTAGGCAATAGTCCTGCTGTCCTTTGCCCTGGTCAGACCATAGCTGGACTGTTAGATCTACTTTGAGGGGCTGCATTTTAAGTAGGATGTTGACAATGAATGAATGAATGAATGAAAAGGCATTTATTAAGCATTTACTACCACTAGACATTGTGCTAAGCACTGGGGAGACAAAAGTTACAAAAGAAGCCTTCCCTGACCTCATTCTAATAGGAGAACACACTACATTAAGGAGAATCAATCAACTTGTTTTTAGCACTTATTATATGCCAGACACATGCAAAAGCCTAAGGACACAGAGAAAGGCAGAAATGCAGTCCTTGCCTGCATGGAGCTCACACTCTAGTGGGAGAGACAACGTACAAACAATTATATATATACAAAATCTGTCCATCCATCTGTCTGTCTGGCTGCCCACTGATCCGCGTCTTTGCTCGTCCACCCATCTGCTTGCCTGCCCGTCCATCTGTCTGTCTGTCTGTCTATCTGTGCATCTATGTCTAGGGTTAAGAAGACCTGAGTTCAAATATGGCCTCAGACACTTACTAGCTGTGTAACTCTAGGCGAATCACTTATCCTCTGATGCCTCAGTTTCTTCCTCTATAAAATGGGCATAATAATAGCATCTATTTCATAGGATCAAACAGATAAAAAGTGCTTAGCACAGTTTTAGTAGGTGCTTAATAAATGCTTCTTCACTCATTCATTCACATAGTGTAAATGGAAAACAATTTCAGAGGGAAGCATGGGGGTGGGGTGGGGGCAGAAGGAGGCATGACACCTGGAAAGGCCTCTAACAGAGAGAAAGGTGACCAGAGAAGGCAGTTTTTATTTTATTTTATTTAATTAATTATTTATTTTTGAGAGGGCAGTTTTAATCTGGGGAGGTAGAAAGGAGGGTGGTGATAGGAGGTGGGCAGCAGGCACATAGTGAGATGGTCTGGGTGGATGGCCACATGGGTGGATAGGATGTGGAACTGGAGCATGGTCTGGAATTTAGGGCCAGTTAATAGATACAGTGGACTAATTAGATAAGTTCGCACTTAGTTACCAATCAACTGAGTTGGGCCCTAGGGTGGGAGCTCCAAAGATGAGTAAATTAGTAAATTAAGTTCCCCTGGACTGGGGCATGACTTCAGCAAGATGTGGGCATGGAGATCCAGGGCTCAGGTCTAGTGTGGAAGGTGCTGGTCTGGGCAGAGAGGAGCAGATGTCCAGAGGAGGTGACTAGGATGGTAAGGGTGTTATTATAAGAGATTGTGTTATTATAAGGACTTTTTGGACAAACTGGGGATGTTTGACTTGATGATAGAGAAGATGTATGGGGTGGGGCAGTGAGGAAGAC